GAGAGAGAGAGAGAGAGATGGTGGCTCTGATGAGCTTCTGTTCCTGTAAGTCAGCTCCACCTGCTCAAGTTCCAACAAGAACTGGCCAATGAGAAGCAATACACCACTTTCACATCATCTCAACTCTCCTGTGTGGCTTATAAGAAGAGCTGAAGTTAGTTTCCAGTGGAATTTAAATGATTTGTTCAACTGACAGAAAAATGGAAATCCGAAGAAAACAGGTAGGTTGATTGGAATATGTCAATTTTATGAAAGCAAAAAATGTAAACAGGTTAGGTTTTGGTTGTTTATATGATTGTTAAAAAGATCCACTCCCAGACATGTATTAAATAGTCCGCTTGGAACAATAATGTGTGTTTCTGCAGAAAATAAAAGTATAATTTCCACATTAAAACCCTTAAAAAGACATCTTCTACATCATTAACACTTCCAGAATCTATGAATATGCTAATTTTGTTAATTTTCTCGGTGTATGTGCACTGGTGGCTTCAGGTTTCTGTCACACTCCTATAAGTTGAATACTGGACCAGACTTCAGACTGTTAGTTCAACATTATAAGCAATATTGTGAGTTTTTTCACTATTATTTAATATGTTACTGAGAGAATAATTATCTAATTAATCCACAAATAATAATCTACAGATACACTGATATGATAATAATAAAAAGGTTCACAAGAATTATAAGGAAAGTATTGAATATATCACAAAAAATAGCCCCATAAATCACTTTAAGTAATACTACAGGAAAAACAAAGAAGATATGACATAGATGTAAATAAAGTAAATCTCACAGGCACCTTTACACTGAGGACGATGCTCCTCCCACCTTCAGGCCAACAGATCAGCCTGCAGCTCGCAGCATGAAGCACCGATCATATGTGGCTCTTTGAGAGAAGATTTCTGACACCACGAGTCAATAATGTTGTAATTTAGTTTGACAACACCAACGGAAATCCATTCAGGGTGGGACAAAGGAAGTGGAAATCACAATATCAAAAGAGCATTGTCAATATTGCCTGTAAGTGCAATATAGAGATTGTAGATTGTAGATGCTCCTTTTTAAAAAATAAAAGCCAACTATTGTACAGTATTTTATTAAATATTTTCCCTATATGGAGCAGGAGCAGGACTGCAGGGACATGAATTGAAAAGGATTCGGGGTGTGGTTTTGGCACCACCTTAATCGTCTGAAATAGCACTTGAGTTTAGTATTACACAAACGCAATGGGAATTGTAATGTTATCAATAAATCTCAGATCACACAGGATTATTATAGTAAAAACACCACAATATATTATTGTGTTACCATTGTGCTTAGTGCTATGTTAATCCAATGCTGGCCTCTAGTGGAGAAAGGACTCACAATTATTTCAGTAACAAAGCACAACAGTGGGGCAGTATAGTAAATTAATTCTCAGCCCTAACAATCATCTAACAAATCAAAATTTTGTTTTTGTTTTTAATTATGAACTAACAATAAAATCTGGTCGGAAATGAGCTTCTGTACAAAATAGGCATATAGACTGTGGATAGAAAATACAATGTGACAGGTGTCAGTATAATATAAATCATTACATAATTAGAAGTCATTATAATGAGAAACACTATGTCAAAATATTCAGAAACTTACATAATATTTTGAGCTCAACATAATGACTTAGTATCTTGAAATAATAAGATAAGATAAGGTGTTCCTTTATTGATCCCCTGTAGGAGAAATTCAAATCAGACACAGCAGCATAGCAGAATGTAGTGCAAAGAGTACAGACGTGTAAAAGTACAATAAAGAATCACAGAATAAGAATATTATTAATATAATAGAAGATATAAGACTATGGTTTGCAAAATATATTGAGCAGCGTGATGAGAAACTTTCTCAATATTAAAGAGTTTCTGAATATTTTGAGAAAGTTTCTGAATATTCAGAGATACTAATCTCAATGTCTGGAGATACTAAGTGAAAATATAGAGGAAAGCTGCTAATTATTTCAAGATACTAAGTCATTATTTTGAGATATCAAGTCAAAATATTGAGATTCTTTGAGTTTCTTATTATAATGAGTTACAGAACCTCACATTGGCATAAGTGGGCTTCCATAATTTAGGGGGCCAGTGTTATTTGGAAGTAAAAACTGAGTGTACATAAAGTAAAACAGACTGCTCACTGTGCAATAATAATCTATTCACATACATAACTGGACACTCTTCTTCTTTTTTGTTGTTGTATTAGAGCTCAAGCCTATTATTTTCCATTTCGGACAGATCAGCTTTAGAAGATTCCCTGCCTGGTTATTGTTCTGCTTTGTCTTCATTTTCTCTTTTCCCACCTCTGTCCTGTTAAACATTGTACCCTCTTGCCAGATTCATTAAGATTCAAAGGTCTGTTTTTATTTTTTTTGGCCCCAAGTCGAGATGAGAAATGTATGTTGAAAACCAATCCTTACATAAATCTTAATGAGATCAGGAATTATCTCACATTGCTTGCTCTGTGTCCCCCCCCCCCACCTCCCCCCCA